TTGTTCTCTTCTGTCATCCATTCCCGATGGATTATTCAACCAGATAAAGCTTTTAAAATCGCCTTCTAAAACCCCCAGAAATATCACTCTATCCCATTAAACTAATCTTCCCCGTGAGCATGCTTACGAACTTAATACGAAACTCAAAATTTCATAGCTCTCGTTATCATTTTTTCCATTCATCTCCTTCGACCGCCTAGGAACGGGTTCTATCAGCTATCGCCTAGCAGAAGGACTCGCTCAATCGAACTCGTTCGAGTCACGTAGACGCCTCACCCAGGTATTCCCGGCACATTAACAAGATACCCCTCTCCCTCCCTCCCTCCCCCTCCCCGCCCCCTCCAACCACATTTTTAAAATAAAAATTTAATACGAAAACTCTTAAAACGGCGCCTGGGCACAACACGCGGGCGTATCTCACACGTTTAATACGTATATACAGGTAAAACGTGCATGTAACCGGGGAAAAGACACGCGACTCGCATGTGTACACTTTATCAACGGGTTATGCGGTGTGGAATCGAGTCTTTCGTTATAGCATCGCCGTAGAAAACACACATGGGGCAATAGATTACAATTATACCGCGAGGCGGACAGCGACGACGCGAACAGGGGGCGGCGGAGAGGGGGAGGGAGGAGAAAATCAAATAGTGGAGGGGGTGAAAAACGTGTTGAGACACGGTGAGTTAACGTGGGAGTGCAGTGACTCGGATTTTGAGAAAGATTTTATCATTTTTAATCCTCAATTTTTCATGCTCAGGAATTTTCTCCGGAGATGTGGCGCTTTTAAATCGACTGTATTTGTTATTTTACATTTTTTAAGATGATTTTAATGTTTTTGATGCGAAACTCAAAACCATTAATGCATTTCGATATTTATTCCAGTGAAAAATGCAAATGAAATGTTTCAATTGTATGAAATTAATCTTCGATTCATTATTAGTAAATCTTTTATTCGAGTTGAATGAACGATTTGTTTGATTGAAGTGAACGAAAATGCGAATAAAAATTGAAGTCAAGTTTGAATGAAAAATTTATTACTAACTATTTGACATTTCTCCATTTATTTAAATGTTTTCCTGCGTAGTACATCATCAGGAAAATCATTCGACTGATTGAATTCGTTGGTAAATGAAATGACGCTTTCGGATCGAATATATTTATTATTCTACATCTTTCCATTTATTTCAATGTTTTTGATGGAAATTAATGCATTTAGATGTTTATTTCAATGAAAAAGTTTTAATTATGTGAAATTAATCATTCATTCATTATGAATAAATCTTTCATTAGAATTTGATAAACGATTTGTCTGACTCAAATGAATGTTGATAATAAATATAAATGTCTGTAAACGTTTGTTTATGCAAAAAAACACGAATAAAAATCGAATCAAGTTTGAATAAAAAATTTATTGCAAACTATTTGACATTTCTCCGTTTGTTGAAATGTTTTTCATGGAAGTGAATGCATTTGATATTTATTTCAATGAAAATGGTTTAATTATACGAAATTAATCGTCATTCATTATAAATAAATTTTTCATTAGAATTTAATAAACGATTTGTTTAATTCTATAGTGAAGTGGTAAAACGGTTTAAGTCGACTTGTCTCCCAGTTGAGTTTTTGAGGAATATTTCCGAATCTAAGGGAAATAGTGAAATTTTCGTAACTACATTTGTTGTAGCGCTCAATCCGCTCTACAAAAAAGTTTATAACAAAAATTTTGCTATCTCCCTTAGATTCCGAGATATTCATTGAAAACTGGTCAATAGTCAAAATTGACTTATACCGTTTTACCATTTCCCTGCTAAATTCAAATGAAGGATTATTACATGTTAATAACGACTATAAATGTTTGTAAACGTAAACGTTTGTTTATGCCAAAACACGTAAATAACACTCGAATTGAAGTTTGAATAAAAATTAATTTAAACATTAATTAATGTTTAATTTATTTGAACATTTTTTAATTTATTTAAAAATTCATTTTTATTCAAACTTAATTTATCCCAACCTTTTTGTTGTGAATTAATGAATTTTTATATTTATTTAAATGAAAATATATTGAATAAATCGATTGATTAAATAAATTGATGAAAGAAAGAAAGAATTACACAACGCCAATGAATGAAAATAACCTCCGAATCAACAACAGATTAATGGTAGGTGGAAACGAGCCGGATGTATTCAAACTGCATCATCGGGGATTCAATGTTACGTAGGATTAAAAAGAGACGAGTAAAGGTAGTTAAGGGAACAAATTGCGTGCAGTTGTCCCGCACTCACTCAGCCATTGAACTTTCACATTGAATCCCCCCTTCTCATTCCCATCTTATGGGAAAATTCTTCGACATTGGGATTAAGTTCGATCGAGTATTAATTATGTGGCGATGAAATTACAATGTCGAGTCCCTAAACAATGCGATTCTCCCGCGACCGGACGTCGGGAATCCGGCGCGGAAGACGACTTTTCAATTAAGAGCATTAATTTCGATATTCCCCGGATGTGCGGTGTCTCGTGCAAATCCCCTTTTTCCCTTTATGTCCCATCTTTGCCGAACCGAGGGCTAAATTGGATGCGTGGGCTCTGCTCTGATTTATGGCTCATCCACCCGCCCAGAGGTCGAATTGGTTGCAACTCCCTGTGCTGAGAGGCTAAATGAAGTCATTTCGAATTGTACACTTTATTGTCAACTTCATTGTCATGAAGAATTATTTACGATCTGACATTTGGAATTTTTTTATCGAGTAAATGGAGCATGTCGTGGCGAATTCCAATGGTTAAAAGGGTATGTGTCAAACGTTTACTTGTATTTTTCAACATTACCCCCAGAGAAATAATTTATTTTACTTAAACAATTGTTTTTTTTATTAAATTAAAAACCTCATTAATTAGAAATGAAAACGAATTTATCAACATTTATTAATTATTTCTTTAATATCATTAATGAATAATAAAAATTTATTTTTTATAATTTATTTCAGAAAATATCGGAATTTTTTTTTATCGAGTAAATAGAGTATGTCGTGGGGAATTCCAATGGCTAAAGGCGTTTACTCATGTTTTTAAACATTACCCCCAGAGAAATAATTTATTTGAATTAAACAATTGTTTTTTTTATTAAATTAAAAACCTCATTAATTAGAAATGAAAACGAATTTATCAACATTTATTAATTATTTCTTTAATATCATTAATGAATAATAAAAATTTATTTTTTATTATTTATTTAAGAAAATATCGGAATTTTTTTTTATGGAGTAAATGCGGTACGTCGTGGGGAATTCCAATGGCTAAAGGCGTTTACTCATGTTTTTAAACATTACCCCCAGAGAAATAATTTATTTTACTTAAACAATTGTTTTTTTTATTAAATTAAAAACCTCATTAATTAGAAATAAAAACGAATTTATCAACATTTATTAATTATTTCTTTAATATCATTAATGAATAATAAAAATTTATTTTTTATTATCTATTTAAGAAAATATCGGAATTTTTTTTTATGGAGTAAATGGGGTACGTCGTGGAGAATTCCAATGGCTAAAGACGTTTACTCATGTTTTTAAACATTACCCCCAGAGAAATAATTTATTTGAATTAAACAATTGTTTTTTTTTATTAAATTAAAAACCTCATTAATTGGAAATAAAAACGAATTTATCAACATTAATTAATTATTTCTTTAATATCATTAATGAGTAATAAAAATTTATTTTTTATTATTTATTTAAGAAAATATCGGAATTTTTTTTTATGGAGTAAATGCGATACGTCGTGGGGAATTCCAATGGCTAAAGACGTTTACTCATGTTTTTAAACATTACCCCCAGAGAAATAATTTATTTGAACTAAACAATTGTTTTTTTTATTAAATTAAAAACCTCATTAATTGGAAATAAAAACGAATTTATCAACATTTATTAATTATTTCTTTAATATTATTAATAAATAATTTATTCAATATCATTAAAACGTTTCAATTGCAAACGTTTCAAATAAAAAATTTGAAAAATGGATGAATGGAAACAAATTGAATTCCACAATGAAATATCATCGAAACTGTTGTCCTCCCGAAAGAACAATGCACCTCAGTGCGCGTACACGAGATAGTCAAAGTCACCGTTAAAAAATTCTCGGGTGGTCCCCGCCTCGCAGGCAGTCCCTCCCTCTCGGCGTTTAATAATTCAACGTTTGTAACCACGACTGGTGAGCGCAAACCAAGCGTATTCGTATGTTAATTCTCCTCTCGAGTCTTTCGGATCTCTCTTACACTTTTTACTCTCCTCTGCTCGGTGTATGCCATGTGAACACTATTCCGAGTGCCGGGAGAATAAGATGAGCGAGAGAGAGAGAGAGAGAGAGAGGTTTCCGTCCGACAATTGAAACTGTCATGTTCGCATGAAGTAAATAGGCTGCGCGTGGGCTAGCATTCTTCGAAAGAACTATTGGGATACTGTATTATTTTTGGGGATTCCAGGGATTGTTGAGAATTTGGAGAGTGAAAGAGCGTGGGAATGAGAAAAATTTTATCTCGTTTTGAAAATTTTCTGGTAATGCATTTTAAGAATTCAGGAGATTACGATTTTAAAATTTTGATATTTTGATATTTTGACATTTTAACATTTTAACATTTTAACATTTTAACATTTTAAAATTTTAACGAGAGAGTATCTCAAATTTATTCCACGAACAAAAAATCAAATTTAATCCCAAGGTTAAATCCGTGTTAATTCAGATGGGGCTACAGGATAAATAAAAAATTATTCGTCGGGTCAAATATAGAAAAATTATGACCCCTACGATATAATTGACCCCGAGGATAAATGTTACCCTGGGGTTTATTTGAAGAACATTTTAACATTTTAACATTAAAAAAAAATATTTTATGAACTCCAGAATTGAATTTATTAATGTCGAATTAACTGATGAAAAAAAATGCATAAAAAATCATATTCACGCAATAAATTAATCGCGATGTAATTTTTTTGTCTAGGTTACACTGGAACCCAATGTGAAATAGACATCGACGAGTGTGCGGCGAACCCTTGTCTGAACAATGGCCGCTGCACAGACCTAGTGAATTCCTTCAAATGTGAATGTGCCAAAGGCTTTGCCGGCACGCACTGCCAGATAAATATTGACGACTGTGCATCATCTCCGTGCAAGAACGGGGGTGCATGTCAGGACTCAATAGCCAAGTACACGTGCGAGTGCCCACCGGGTTTCACTGGTGCCTCGTGCGAGACCAATATCAACGACTGCCAGTCCAATCCCTGTCACAGTGGCACGTGCATTGACGGCGAGAACTCGTTCACCTGCAGCTGCTTCCCCGGTTTCACGGGGAAACTGTGTCAAACGCAGATTGACGAGTGCGAGAGCAATCCCTGCCAGTTTGGGGGACGCTGCGAGGACAGGATCAATGGGTATCAGTGCATATGCAGGCCTGGCACCTCCGGGACCAACTGCGAGATCAATGTCAATGAGTGCTACAGCAATCCGTGCAGGAATGGCGCACGATGTGTCGATGGCATCAACAGGTTGGTTTTTTTGGGATTTTTTTGGGGGGCCGTGGGTGAGAGATGGAGATGGAGATGATAATGATGATGATAATGATGAGGGAAAGATGATGAGTTAAATGAGACATTTTTAGAAATTGAGAATTTAATTTCGAAGAGAGGAAATTTCAATTGAATGAAAATGGTGATCATGAATTTTTGCTTGACATTTTTTTTACAGAAAAAAATGGTCTGTTTGAGTTTTTGGCGATGGGTTGAATGTGAAATTTTTAGAAATTGGGAATTTATCTTGGAAAAGAGGGAAATTTCTGTTGAATGAAGATGTTAATGACGCATTTTCTCTTGACATTTTCCCCTGAACTGAATAATCGCGAGAGAATCCTCTAATAAAATTCTTCAGTATGGAATCTCTAAATAAAATGATCCATTTAGTTTTTTGGTGATGAGTTAAATGTGTCATTTTTAGAAATGGGGAATTTATTTTGTAAAAGAGGAAGATTTCAATTGAATGAAGATTCAATTACACATTTTCGCTTAACATTTTTCCCTGAAATAAATAAAACACGAAAAAATCCCTTAATTAACCTGTTTAGTACTGAATGTCTACATAAAATGACCCATTTAATTTTTTGGTGTTGAGTTAAATGCGACATTTTTAGAAATTGGGAATTTATTCTGGAAGAGAGGGAAATTTCAAAGTCAATTGAATCAATTTATTCTGCGATGAATAAATCTCTAGAGAATTTTCTAGTCAAATTCTTTAATATAAAATCTCTAAATAAAATGATACATTTAATTTTTTGGGTGATAAGTTGAAGGGAACATTTTTATAAATGGGGAATTTATTTTGTAAAAGGGGAAAATTTCAACTGAATAAAAATTCAATTACGCATTTTCGCTTGACGTTTTCCCCTGAAATAAATAAAACACGAAAAAATCCCTTAATTAACCTGTTTAGTACTGAATGTCTAAATAAAATGACCCATTTAATTTTTTGGTGACGCGTTAAATGTCACGTTTTTAGAAATGGCAAATTTATTTTCTAAAAGAGAAAAATGTCAATTGAATGAAAACTTAATTACTCATTTTCGTTTGGCATTTCCTCCTGAAATTCCCCGCTTGCCAATTCCCCACAAATTATTGATCAAAATCCATTTTAATAGTGCAATTATCTCATCAAGGAATAATTCCCCAAAAAAAAATATCGAAAAAATTCCCACAAAAAGTGTCTCATTATTAAATTATTTATTAAAGAGGTAGCGAATCCAATTTCGCTCTCACTAAAAGAGTCATTTGGAAAAATCCCTCTCTCATTCTCTCTCTCTCATCGACTGAATAACATTGACCTCGTGACGAGAACCTGTTGGTTCCTCTCCCCCCCCCCCCCCCCCNCCCCCCCCAGCCCGTCCACGTTATTAACATTAAATATCGAAATAAATGTCTTCATTATACTAATCTGACGATCTCTCGTGCGCTTTTTTTATCTTTCATCGATCGATCTCGAAGCAATCGGATGCCAGGTCTCGGATGGTACGTAAAACGTGTCGGAGTGTGCTTGAATATTTTGATTTGCCATTTTTCCCCTTTTTTCTTCGCACAGTCACCTGCTTTAATTTCTGCCTCACTGATCCCCTTCACTTGCCCCTGATATTTATGTTTGCAATTTGTGAGTTTTTTTTCCTCTCGGAGCAAGGAGATAAGTATGGAATTTATGAAGGATAGTGTTTATGCAAAAATCGAAGGTATAAATGAAAGTCCACGCTCTGGTGAAGTGTTTATGAGGCTTTTTGATTTCTCTAGTGTAGTTAAGCGATACCGTAAATTTCTGGGATAGAAACATTCGCATTTTTTACGCTTCAAAATTCAGGGGGCAAGGAGTTTTATGTTGGCATTAGAGATTGTAAATTCCTGGGGCTTTAAATTACTTTTTCAAATTCATTTCCTCGTGTTCAGGAGCTAGTTCACCTGCATAAACATTCGATAATCATCTCCTTACTCAATCCAAGCGAATTGATGATTGAAACATGCTGTTTTGAGAAACATTATGGATTGATTTATCATTCATGCTAATCAGTATTGCATTGATAACAGGTTACAAGTCGATTTAGTTTCTAGTTGAATTTTCATGAATATTGCTTTCTATGTTGTGATTTTCTTCAGATTAAAAGATATTTCTTGGAAATTTAACTAGAAATTAAACCTGTTTGTGACTTTGTGTCATTCCAATACTGACTTTTTTTTATTAGATTAGAGTATTCTAAGGAGATAACTATGAAATTTATGAAGGGCAGTGTTTATACAAAAATCGAAGGTATAAATGAAAGTCCACGCTCTGGTGAAGTGTTTATGAGGCTTTTTGATTTCTCTAGTGTAGTTAAGCGATACCGTAAATTTCTGGGATAGAAACATTCGCATTTTTTACGCTTCAAAATTCAGGGGGCAAGGAGTTTTATGTTGGCATTAGAGATTGTAAATTCCTGGGGCTTTAAATTACTTTTTCAAATTCATTTCCTCGTGTTCAGGAGCTAGTTCACCTGCATAAACATTCGATAATCATCTCCTTACTCAATCCAAGCGAATTGATGATTGAAACATGCTGTTTTGAGAAACATTATGGATTGATTTATCATTGATGCTAATCAGTATTGCATTGATAACAGGTTACAAGTCGATTTAGTTTCTAGTTGAATTTTCATGAATATTGCTTTCTATGTTGTGATTTTCTTCAGATTAAAAGACATTTCTTGGGAACTTGACTAGAAATTAAATCCTTTTTGTGATTTTTTGTCGCTTCACTATTGACATTTTTATTAGATTAGAGTGTTTATTTAAAAAATGAAAGTGTGGTATTAATAAACTGTCTTTGATCATCAATAATTCCGAAACGTTTTCTCTTTTTAAATTTTAACAATGAATGATTAAAGATGAATTTTCAGTCAATTTTAAGTTGAGATTTTCAAATGTCAAATACTGAAGTTTGCGCATGGAATGCGATGCAGAATAGATTAAATACGACATGTTTCCTTCTTCCTCTATTAGATGTTAATGAATATTAATAATGGTTGAATCGTTCTATCTGTATAAATTCAGAGATATCAATCAAAACGTAAAAAACTAGTTGATCCCCTTTCATTATACCCTTTTTCCTGTCAGATTCGATATTCCTTTTTTAATTAACTTTTTACAATCATTCTCATTGCAAAAAGCAATACGAATGAGAATCATGTCCCAATTTATCAGCAGTTAAATTTTCATATTACAATAAATGATTTGCTCATGATCTAATTCCTATGCTCACTGAATAAGATCTTAATCATGATTACAATTCAATTCCGTCTAGAACACACTTTAGAGTGTGAATTTCTGAAATTCAATGTTTGTTTGCCCACCCTGTTCTCAATTTTTAGCTAGTTCACACGGTAATTCCATTAATCTGTTGTTCATCTCATCATATAATTCCGCGCTTAGAATATTGTCATCTCGTGTTTTCAGCACGAAATTAAAAATTCAAACTTCATTTGGAATATTGAGTCAGAGCTTCTTTTTATTCATCTCCGAAATTTTGTATTTGGATATTAATATTATTTGTTCAAAGTGAAAAAATCGATCATCATTTTCACTACATTGCATTGAGATTCTCCCATCCTTTCCGTCAAAAATGTGAGATAATCTCATAATTTAGCTATTAATTCTAATCAACTTTGTTCGAAGAAAACCTCAGTAAAATAGAATTATTCTGTTGTCCTCTGACCTAAACGATTTCGACAATTAAGATTCCTTTGTGGACGTCCGCATGAAAAGGGACCACTTTGTCGATTCTAGTTTCCGAGATATTCACGTTTTTGTCTCAGCAACTCCCATTTACACTCATGTTAAAGTGTTTTTTTCATCTGCTCCGGCGACGTCATTTTTCACCCTATGAGGATCATTTTGGGCTCAAAATGTGCGGAATGTTATAAATATTATCAGAGTATACATAACTCCATATCGACAAAGTGGCCCCTTTTCATGCGGACGTCCACCTTTATTCATGTTTCATAGAATGGTATTCGATTCTCTTTTGTGTGTTAGGCGGGCTTCACGAAAATTCGACGGTAGTCTCTCCACTCGTCCGAGCTATCCCCCATGTTCGAGTCACCCTTTTCGATTCAACATAGGGGAGCATGGGGCAAAATGAAACACGGGGCAAAATGAAACAGTGGAAAAATCTCGTCATCTAAAGGAGATAGGACATTTTTGAAGAGGACCTTTTTTGTAGCTTGTAAAATTCTCTACAAAAAAAGTTCCCATGAAAATCGTGCTATCTCCCCTAGATCCCAAGATTTTCTTACTGTTTCATTTTGCCTCACCGTCCCCTACCGCTCCTTTTTAGAAAGTATTGCAATTTTGGCTTTTGCCCCTCTCAACCCCCCCGCCACCCTCGATCTTGCAGGTACTCCTGCGAATGCGAGCCAGGCTTCACCGGTCAGCACTGCGAGACCGACATCAACGAATGCGCCAGCAGCCCCTGCGCCAACGGAGGTCGCTGCATCGACCTCATCAACGACTACCGCTGCGAGTGCCCCCGAGGCTACTACGACGCGCGCTGTCTCAGCGACGTCGACGAGTGCGCCAGCAATCCCTGCACCAACGGTGGCCGCTGCGAGGACGGCGTCAACCAGTTCATCTGCCACTGCCTGCCGGGCTACGGCGGCAAACGCTGTGACGTCGACATCGACGAGTGCGGCTCCAACCCCTGCCAGCACGGAGGCCTCTGCATAGACCACCTGAACGACTACTCCTGCCAGTGCCTCGCGGGCTACGCCGGCACCAACTGCGAGACCAACATCGACGACTGCGCCACCAATCCCTGCCAGAACGGGGGCTCCTGCATCGACCTCGTCAACGATTACAAGTGCGTCTGCGAGCTGCCGCACACGGGACGCAACTGCGAGGACAAGCTCGACCCCTGTTCACCCAACAAGTGTCTGCACGGGGCCAAGTGCTCGCCCTCGTCCAACTTCCTGGACTTTGCGTGCACCTGCACTGTCGGCTACACCGGCAGACTCTGCGACGAGGACGTCGACGAGTGCATAATGACGTCGCCGTGCAGAAACGGGGCGACATGCAGAAATACCAATGGCTCCTACCACTGCGCCTGTGCCAAGGGCTACGAGGGACGCGACTGCATCATAAACACGGACGACTGCGCCTCCTTCCCGTGTCAAAATGGGGGAACGTGTTTGGACGGCATTGGGGACTACACGTGCCTCTGCGTCGACGGCTTCAGCGGGAAGCACTGCGGCATCGACGTCGACGAGTGCCAGTCCGCACCCTGTCAAAACGGCGCCATCTGCAATCAGTACGTCAACTCCTACACGTGCCAGTGTCAACTGGGCTTCTCAGGTATAAACTGTCAAACAAACGACGAGGACTGCACAGAAAGCAGTTGCATGAACGGTGGCAAGTGCATCGACGGCATCAACAACTACACGTGCGTCTGCCAACCGGGCTACACCGGCTCCAACTGTCAATACCGTATAAACGAGTGTGACAGTGCGCCCTGCCTGAACGGTGCCACCTGTCACGACGACATTAATCAGCATTACACGTGCCACTGCCCTTACGGCTACACCGGCCAGCGCTGCGACATATTCGTCGACTGGTGTGCAGACAAGCCCTGCGATAATGGGGCCACCTGCGTGCAGCACAAGAACAAGTACCACTGCAATTGCTCGCCAGGGTGGACTGGCAAGGTCTGCGACGTGGAAATGGTGTCCTGCAAGGACGCCGCAATTCGTAAGAATGTACCGGAGAATTATCTCTGCAATAATGGCACTTGCGAGGACATTGGCAACAGCCATCGCTGCCACTGCCTCGAGGGCTACACTGGCTCCTACTGTCAGGAGGAGATTAATGAGTGCGACTCGGCGCCCTGTCAGAATGGCGCCGTCTGCAAGGACCTCGTGGGGTCTTATCAGTGCCAGTGCACCAAGGGCTTTCAGGGCCAGAACTGCGAGCTCAATGTCGACGACTGCAGGGCCAATCCCTGCCAGAATGGCGGCACCTGTCATGATCTGATCAACAACTTTAGCTGCTCATGCCCACCGGGCACTGTCGGCATCCTCTGCGAGATCAATCCTGACGACTGCGTTCCTGGGGCCTGCCACAACAATGGCACCTGCACCGATAAGGTCGCTGGGTTCGAGTGCAAGTGCCCACCGGGGTTCGTTGGACCTCGCTGCGAGGGCGACATCAACGAGTGCCTCTCCAACCCCTGCGTCGCACCTGGAACTCAGGACTGCGTTCAACTCGTGAATAACTACCACTGCAACTGCAAACCCGGGTATATGGGCCGACACTGCGAGGTCAAGGTCAACTTCTGCGATAGTTCGCCCTGTCAAAATGGAGGGGTGTGCACTGCCAAGCAGGCGGGGCACACGTGCCTCTGCCCGAGTGACTACTACGGACACAACTGCGAGTTCGCTGGGTCCTACTGCGACACTGATCCCTGTCTTCATGGAGGTAATTGGGGAGATTTTTTTAAAGCATGCTTTAGTCAACGCTAGATGAATATTTACAGATTTTTGCAGTTATTTGTATTTTTAAAAAAGGTTTATTAAAAATTAACGGTTTTATCTGAGGGTTTTTTGATGAACTTTGGTCACTTGGTGACGCTTGAGTTTAAACATTGTGTACGTGGGACTCCGTTCCGGTCTATCCAAAAATAATTTTTTTCAAATTTCATTTTGAAAATTTTTTCCCAATTTGGGATTTTTTATTTTTTCATTCAAAAATTCATTATTTATGGTCCATAAATGGTTGATAAATAATGAATTTTATATTCTTTATATTTTTATAAAATAAAAACAAAGAAATTAAAAATTTGGAAAAATTTTTAAAAACAAAATTTGCAAAAAATTGAAAAACAAAAATTTTTTTTTCATAGAACGAATCCGAGTCCCAGTATAATTTTTTAATGTCTCGTAAAAATAGTCATTTTGGGTGTAGAAATAAAAAAATATCCAATGGAAGTGGGGGTGGGGTTTATCATGCGCAATTTTCTTTTTTTTTGGTGAATTCCAAGCATTTCCGATGATGTGCTGCGTTGAATCCCAAAATTTTGTCAAAAACTCACAAAACTCAAATTAACGTTGTGGGCATAATGAAATTTGGAAAACAATTTTTTAGTCCTTTTGAATAATAAGAAAGCCATATAAGAAGCCTTAACTATTAAATATTTAATTAAATAAAATTTAATGAAATCAATGAAATTCATGAAATGAATGAAATCACTGAAATGAATGAAATGAATGAAATTCATGAAATTCATGAAATTCGTGAAATGAATGAAATGAATGAAATGAATGAAATGAATGAAATGAATGAAATGAATGAAATGAATGAAATGAATGAAATGAATGAAATGAATGAAATGAATGAAATGAATGAAATGAATGAAATGAATGAAATGAATGAAATGAATGAAATGAATGAAATGAATGAAATGAATGAAATGAATGAAATGAATGAAATGAATGAAATGAATGAAATGAATGAAATGAATGAAATGAATGAAATGAATGAAATGAATGAAATGAATGAAATGAATGAAATGAATGAAATGAATGAAATGAATGAAATGAATGAAATGAATGAAATGAATGAAATGAATGAAATGAATGAAATGAATGAAATGAATGAAATGAATGAAATGAATGAAATGAATGAAATGAATGAAATGAATGAAATGAATGAAATGAATGAAATGAATGAAATGAATGAAATGAATGAAATGAATGAAATGAATGAAATGAATGAAATGAATGAAATGAATGAAATGAATGAAATGAATGAAATGAATGAAATGAATGAAATGAATGAAATTAATGAAGTGAATGAAGTGAATGAAATTAATGAAATTAATGAAAATTAATGAAATTAATAAAAATTAATGAAAATTAATTCCTCTCCATCAGCACCCTCTAACCCCCTGTCTCCCTCTTCCAGGAACCTGTGGAGTCGCTGCAACGGAGATGGGCTACAAGTGCTACTGCCCGCCGGGCACATCCGGCACGCACTGCGAGATCGACATAAAGGACGAGTGCGTGAGTAACCCCTGCCAGCAGTCGGACGCGATCTGCCAGGACCTGGTAGGCGACTACGCCTGCTCGTGCCCGCCAAAGTGGACAGGCAAGAACTGCGAGATATACGACAAGAACGGCCGAGGCGGCATATTCGGTCGTCCCTCGAACATAATTCACCAGCGTGGCGAGATCGAGCAGGACCTGGAGCGCGAGCGCAAGAAGTGCGTGGAGAATCGTTGCGAGGAGAAGTCGGGAAACCGTCGCTGCGACGAGGAGTGCAACAAGTACGCCTGCGACTTTGACGGGAACGACTGTTCGTTGGGGATAAATCCCTGGAGCAACTGCACAGCGAGAATAAGATGCTGGGACGTGTTTATGAACGGCGTCTGCGACGAGGAGTGCAATAACGCGCAGTGTCTGTTCGACGGACGTGACTGCGAGAAGAAACTCGAGCGATGCAATCCGATATACGACGCCTACTGCGGCAAGCACTACGCCAACGGCCACTGCGACTACGGCTGCAACAACGAGGAGTGCAATTGGGACGGAATGGACTGCGAGCGTGAGCCCCCAGCGCTGGCAGACGGGGCAATAAGTTTCCGAATTCGCATGGACATGGCGACATTCCGAGAGAACGTTGTGGCATTCCTTCGTCTGATGGGCCACGACCTGCGAACGACACTGAGATTAAAGCAGGACGAGCTCGGCAACGACATGATATACCCCTGGAAGGGTGCGAGGGAGCAGAGCAAGCCCTCTAGCTTCTTCGGTCGTCCGCAGACCTACGACAGCCGAAATGGGGTTCTCGTTTACCTGGAGATCGACAACAGAAAGTGCGCCGTGACACCGGGGGCCATTTGCTTCCCATCGGCGACAGAGGCCGCGGATTTCCTCGCAGCGACAGCCTCCAAGCACACCCTCTCCGGGGACTTCCCCATCGAGGAGGTGCGAGGTGTCGTGGGGACACCGGACTACCCGGACTCCCCGACGAACTACAAGTACGTGTTCATAGGAGTTGTCATCGTGATCCTGGGGGGAATGCTGGTGGGCGTGCTGGTGACAGCCCAGAGGAAGCGCGCTGTGGGTGTCACCTGGTTCCCGGACGGTTTTCTCCGGACAACAGGTGGCAGTGGGAGGGTGAGACGCCAGAGGGGGATCAACAAGACCCCGAGGCGAGTGCCGGACGGCCAGGAGATGAGGAATCTGAAGCTTCAGGGCTCTGTCAATTGCATGGACCTCGACGTCGGGAATGGCCGAGTCCAGTGGTCCGACGACGAGTCTGACCTGCCGCCCTCCAAGAGGATGAGGGCCATCGAGCCGGGCTATGCCAGCGATCACACAGCAGTGACAGACTACGAGGAGACTGAGCCGAGGATGTGGACACAGCAGCACTTGGACGCAGCTGAGATTCGCAGGCCAGAGGCTGGTGTTCTGACGCCCCCGAGTCTCGAGCACGGCCAGGACATCGACGCCAGGGGCCCCTGCGGCATGACCCCCCTGATGGTGGCGGCTGTGAGGGGCGGGGGCCTCGACACTGGGGAGGAGGAGGACGAGTCCGATGGGACAGCGGCTGTTATCTCGGATCTGGTGGCGCAGGGGGCCGATCTCAACGCCACGACTGAGAAGAGCGGGGAGACAAGCCTTCACCTGGCAGCTCGCTATGCCAGGGCTGACGCTGCCAAGAGGCTGCTGGACGCTGGGGCTGAGGCCAACTCTCAAGATAACACTGGGAGGACACCCCTGCACTCGGCAGTGGCTGCTGACGCGATGGGAGTGTTTCAGATTCTCCTGAGGAATCGAGCCACCAATTTAAACGCCAGAATGCACGATGGAACCACTCCCCTGATCCTCGCTGCCAGGCTTGCTACTGAGGGAATGGTGGAGGACCTGATCAATGCTGATGCTGACATTAATGCCGCTGACAACAGCGGCAAGACCGCCCTCCACTGGGCGTCGGCTGTCAACAATGTCGATGCTGTTAATATTCTGCTGGTTCACGGGGCCAACAGGGACGCACAGGACGACAAGGACGAGACTCCCCTGTTTCTCGCCGCAAGGGAGGGCTCCTTCGAGGCCTGCAAAGCTCTGTTGGACACATTTGCCAATCGCGAGATAACGGATCACATGGACAGACTGCCGAGGGACGTAGCCTCCGAGCGCCTGCACCACGACATCGTCAGGCTCCTCGACGAGCACGTGCCCAGATCCCCCCAGATGGTGTCGGTGATACCCAATGGGCCTCTCATGGGCTCGCCCAATCATCCTCAATTGATAACACCTCCAACTGTGATCGGTTCAGCCCCCAAACACACGAAAGCCAAGAAACGCCCCAAGGCCACTGGGCCATGCAATCCTAATAGCCCAGAGTCGGAGGGGGCTGTTGCTGTCAGGCGAAAAGGATCGGTTAAAAAATTACCAACAAAACGCGGTGCACAGCCCCCAAACCAGGAGATCCCTCAGGGAGCGGAGGGAGCAGAGGGCAATTTACCGAGCCCCTACGACAGCGCAAGTTTGTACAGCAATGCGCTCCCACTCGTAGGGCACACAACGACAAAACAACCGCCGGCTTACGAGGACTGCATTAAGGGACAGGGGATGCAGGGCCTCCAGCAGCTGGGGCTCGACACATTCACCAATAATTATGGGCTGGGGAATTTTCATGAGCAATTGCTGACACCACATCAGCGCCAGACGCAGGGAATTGTGAATACTCTGTCGCCACCGTACAGTAATCAGAGCCCACCACACTCGGTGCAGTCCAATATGACGCTGTCGCCTCAGGCGAGCTACATGGGGTCGCCTTCCCCTGCGAAGAGCAGACCGTCACTTCCCACCTCGCCCACACACATTGCTGCCATGAGGCAGGCGACGCATCAGAAGCACGGGGGAATGCCACCTGTGGGTTTTGATTTTGATAATATTCCGTATTCGAGTGGACAACAGCAGATGCAGGCGCTGCAGCAGGGACAGATGCAGCAGCCGCAGGGCAGCAATCAGCAGTACTATCAGTATCTGACCCCACCTTCTCATCATTCTGGGCCTGATGTCACGCCACAGCATCTCATGCAGGCACCTGAGAGCTTCCCAACACCCTCGCCTGACAGCCCCGGACACTGGTCTTCTAGCTCACCGCATTCTAATAGCGATTGGTCTGAGTGCATGGCTTCGCCCAATGCTTATGGCACTGGGGGACAGCACCAAAGTAGTAAGGGGTCCGAGGCGATCTATATTTGAGCGGGCGGCGGGGGTGAGGGAGTTAGGGATTTTTTTATATTTGGGACGTTGCCGGGCGAGTCAGGCAGCTTCGGTATTTTTTGGGCTGGAAGGTGCTGCACAGGGGATTCAAGGGACGGTTAATTTTAGGGGAACATGTGTGGGGGATTTTTAAGAGCTCGAAAGCGGGAGAATTACAGGAATGAATTTAGGGAGGGGGGAAAGGAGTCGAGTCGACTTGGCTGGGTTTTTGAAGAATATCTCTGAATGTAAGGGGGATACCGGAATTTTTGTAAAGGGCTTTTTTGTAGATCTTGATCGGCTCTACGGAAAAGGTTATAACAAGAATTTTGATATCTGCCTTTGATTTCGAGATATTCATTGACGATTGGCCGATTGTCAAAATCGAGTTGAACCGTTCGCTATTGAATTAAATATACGTCAAGTTTAATAATGAAATTGATAGGGATGCATTAGGGAATGTATTCTGAAACTATGAGGAAAATTTAGAATTGTCTAGAAGCAGGATAACGAGGAAAATGAACGCAATAGCGAAGGGGTGAAACCAGTCAAGTCGACTTAGCCGAGTTTTTGGAGGATATCTCCGAATCTAAGGGAGATAGCGAAATTTTTGTGAACATATTTTTTATAGCTCTCAATCCGCTCTACAAAAAATGTTATAACAAGAATTTTGGTATCTGCCTTCGATCCCGAGATATTCATCGACAACTGATCAATAGTTTGTTTCCCTGCTGAATTTATTTTTTGTATTGCTTCGAAAAATATGAAATTTCGCACATGCTTTCTCGATAGATTCATTAATGCATTGAAAAATGAGAAACAACTTTTTTCATTTTTTTTCCAGTATTGCAGACATTTGATAATCCATTTTTCGATTTTTTTTTCTTTTTCAAATTCATTTTTCAGCACAATTTCAAAATGGGACTAATTAATAGCGTTGGTGGCTGATTTGGCGTGAAATGTTCCATATATTGATGTTTCTTTTTTACAAAGACTTTTTATATTGAATCAGAGACACTTCGACGTACTCGGTTATTGGGGAGTAGTGAACGTAATGTGGTTAAGATATTATATTTTTTATAGTGAATGAACATTCGGGGGGTTTTTATACACCAGTTTTCTTGGGAATAGCTCAATCATTCGAGGTGCCTTCCACTTGCCATGAGTGAACACCTTTTTCTAGAATTTTTTTTTCATGAGTACAGCCTCTGGGAATGACAGCAGCCTAACTGACATTGTAAATATTCAATGGAGATCGATTAGATTAGGTGTAATTTCTATTTAATTTAGGTGTAGCACGATCACGTGTCTCTGAGACAATTTAAGGGATCGTTCGAATATTCTAATCACCACTGCCGAGTATTCCTTATTATACTGATGATTTAACTTTCAAATACTCGAGGGAGAGTGGATTGTGCCTTTGAATTTATGTAGGTGATAGGGGACTTGGGGGACCGGCACAGGGAATTGGAGGGGTTTCTCGATGAATGTTCCATACAGACATTCCAATTCGTTTTATACACTGTTTGAAAGAAATGAAATTTCAGGGACAGTTGGTCTCAATTTGGAGGGGAAAATCAGTGAATTTGAGATTTTAATGGAAATGCCGTGGAATTCCAACATTTTTTAGCAGCAGGAAAGAAGAATAACTCTATTTGGTTGAATTTTCAATTTATTGAATATTTGAGAATGCATTTACTTGAAATTGACAGTTTTCATTAATTTTTCTGTAAATTTTTGGATCATCAATGATGAAGTTCCTTGAAGTTTCAGTGGAAGTATGATGTAGATTTGATTTAGCGCGAAAAAAATTATGAAATTTTAGATTTCAGTGAAAATTCAATGAAATTTCAAACTATTTGGCAGCAGGACGATGAGAATTCTGAGTTTTACGTGAATTTTCAGTGACAATATGATTATTCATTACCAAATTTCGAGGAATTTTCAATATATTAAACATTTAAGAATATATTCACCTGAAATTTACAATTTCCAAGACGAAATTCTTCGAACTTTCAGTAGAACTATAATGTGAATTTGATTTAGAGCAAAAAAAAATTATAAGATTTCAGATTTCAGTGAAAATTCGATGAAATTTCAAACTATTTAGCAGCAGACAGACTAGAATTCCTGAAAATACGATTATTCATCCCAAAATTTTACGGAATTTCCAATCAATCGACCATTCAAGAATTCCCCTCAAATTCCCAATTTCCCAAAATTTCGCAAAAAAATTTTCAACAGTGTAATTCCTACCTATTACATTCCCAAATCGTCGATTCCATTGGAATAAAAAAAACGAAGATTAATCCCAAATTTCGTGAATCTATCGTTAGTTAATAAAATAAATAACTCCTCCCCCTACTATAAAAACCTTAAATTCTCTACTAAGCTAAGTGAAATGTCGACGAGACCCTTGCGATTCCCTGCCCCGTCCCGCCAAAGCCAAACGAGAGTTGAAGTTGCAAAAAAACAATTGTAACACTCGATAAAAACTGACAAGTGGTGTCTTCGCATAATTAATCCTTTTACATAGAATTTGTTGCGAGAGAAAAGGTTTTATCGACGGATACAGATCGACTCGCGTCTGCAATACTAGGATTTTCGACGGAGATACGACACGATTGAGAATAATCAAACGGATTCTGATTATTTAACGCAATGGATAAATGTTTAATTTGTATATACTCCTTTGTCTACTCACGCTGTTGTCGAGTATTGCTTTATCATCTTTTCTCTCGATTTTTGTACAAACTGTTTTTACATATTTTTTTTTCTACACCTATATAAGCTAGACATACTGCTATTCTCCAGATAAATGGAATAAATCATATTTTTCTTTCGTAATCATTTGAACGAATATCTGAATAATCATGTTTATCGATTTATATTAAATTACAAAATGTTTAACGATATATCGTGTGATTTTCTGTTGCATTAAGGATACTAGAAATTATTTTGTATATTGTTCTTAATGCAATAATGGTTACACAGCGGTGTGATGGAGATCTCTGACTAAAAGACGATGTTATTCTGTAATAAATGAAATTCATTTCAGCTCGTTCAGCTAATTAATCATAAAAGACTGTGAAGAAACAATGAAATATGGAACGTGAGTTCCCCCTCCCCAGTGACAAATGATTAGTCTGTATTCATAAATGAGGCCTTACACTCGAGAGATTAATTGTTACGTATTTTACATACGTACAGTGACGAAAATATTTTTTGAAAAATCAATGACAATAAATTATGCTCTCTGACGCACCTTCACTCTGTGTTAAATAAAATATAATTAAATAAAATTAGGATTAAGGTATGGAGTAGTTCGTGGTTAATGATTAAGTTAGAGATGATACTTGGATTATGATAGAATTTGTTATTCCTTGTAACTTGTAAAAAGTACTGAGTTTTATTAGTATAAAACTACACGATTAAGAAAAACTAAAGATATGTTTGAACCTATCTTCTTTCCCTGTCCCACAATTGTATTTCCCATATTTTTATAAATAAGTTATGTCTTTTAAACAGATGTAATAATAAAGATAGTCTAACATTCATGATAAATATTGAGTTATTATTTTACATTATCACTATCCAAACGAAAATTCAAACAATTCCCTTTTTAATTTAATAATAATTTATAATAATCAATTCGTGAATAAAACAAATTGAGACGATGAACATGACACGAATGAAAAATGATAAAGGATCTATTTATCAGTCTCTTTTGCCCAAGTTGTACAGAACAACATTGAACATACGAAGCAAGTGGGATGAAATAGGAATGGAGGATACTCAATAATAAATAGACATGTAAAATTTGGAATGATAGCCTTTTTCTTGCATTTATTATCATTCAAAAAATCGTACGTATACTTTACAGTCATCACACCAATCATCGTAATAATTATAAATCTTACTATCTCATTACTTCATGTTTATTCCATACATTATGATAAAAAGATTCATAGCAATATGTAAGTATGCCAAAAAGGAAAACAATCTTGGTAGCAGTTCGTGTCGTCCTCCTTTCATTACGGTATTGTAATAAATTGAAATGTCTGAGAGTACATTAAAAATTGATAACGTAAACAGTATCATCTACATGTATCGCCCGCCCTTACTCCAACTAAAAAAAAAACAAAAAAGCATTCACCCTTCGCAACCCCTGATCACTGGCACTCATCACGCATTCGCTCATGAATTCCCCCCCAACAGGCGAATGATAATCAATTAATCGTAATAATTAACGATGATATATTTACACGCGAATGATGATCGCTTGTTGCATTCAACGACTCAACACTATCGAGAATGAACCCAATTTCTCTAGAGAGGAATGATATCAATTCACCTAATTACGAATAAAACAATCGAGAATTATGATAAAATGAGACAATGAACTTGACACGAATGAAAAATGATAAAGGATCTATTTATCAGTCTCTTTTGCCCAAGCTGAACAGAACAACATTGAAGATAAGAAGCAGATGGGATCTAAGTGGGCCCCACCCATTCCCCCGGAGCCCCTTTCACTAAAGAAAATTAATAAATCTTATTCCTTAACTACCCATACACGAATAAAAGTGTTTTCGCATTCAGCTGTATAAACATAAAAGTCATCATTCACTTCGCACACATTCCTCAGTCATCCCTCACATTCTCTCACAGTGGACCATTTTTAGTTCATCTTTACATTAATCGTAGATCACATCACATTAAGAGGGGCTTGGATCAATGCACTCGAATCAATTGATCTTCCAATCGTGCATTCACATTTTCCACACCTGACTGACATCTTCTTTTGGTCAGCAAAATAATTTCGACTATCGGTTGACATGTTCATGGAGGATGAAAAATATATTTCGTAATATAATTTTATTTTTATGATAAATTAAACAATAGTGATATCGATGATTCGTACAGCACAAAAGTTTTATTGAACGATGATTATGTTTCAACACATTTACCATTTCAATATTTTTGGAATATTTTCGGTGGGCATTATGGGGAGTCCAACGGCGCAGACGTGTCCACTGGAAGCGCTTGAGCCATTATTTTCTTTTTTCACGATAATCCATTCTCACACACATCGTCTCACAAACATGTATCCAATAACTTTGTTAATCTAACATATGTATTTCAATAAAAATTGGAAATATTTACATACGATACTGGCAGTAATTTCCTCCTAATTTCATTAAATTTTATATATCTTTTAATTTTTCTCAGTTTGTCATCATGATAAAATGTGTAATCGCCTCGTGAATTGAAATGCTGCACAAGTAATATCGTAATTAATATACGATAACATGTGCCTCACGAGAGCTAGAAAATAAAAATCTTAACGATTTGTTTCATCAATAGTTCAATACGAACACAGTTTATTCGTGTGATAACTTTCACGTAATGTGAAAATTTAAACTTCAGAACACAAACGATATTATAACGAGATTCCTTTGAGTTGTAACAAAGGGTAACATAGAATAATAGCAAAGCAGTATTTAAATATTGGAGTTTAATTATAAATTAGGAGTTTGGCAGTGTTCATTTCTTGTTGTCGTTTTTGAACATCACGTAAATGTTCAATGAAATTCGACTGAACGATTTAATACAAATGTCGAGAGGTGCAATGTCTTCAAATACTTTGGTTTTTTGTTATCATCGTTTATGTGATAAGCAAAATTATTGTTCAATCATGGATTTCGAGTCATGAGTAGAATTTTTTTCGTAACAAAACGCAATTTGCACCATTTGCACTTGGAAATCTTTTTTAAATTCTCTAATAAGCTCTTGTTAACACCACATTGATCGTGCTCGATCATCAGGTGAGTAATTTTGTTATTTTGGCTTCTGACATGTGGATGAAGGACTAAATATTCTCCAAGAGGAGGATTCATCTGCGCAATTTAACGATTGAATTTAATGAAAGCAAGTATCGTTCGTCTGTTTTGGTTGAGGTGATTTTGAGACATAAGTATTTTTTGTTGAGTCTTGATAGTCTTGTGAGCAATGCCACAGCAGCTTCTCCTGATGCAATAAACTCTCACGATGAATCCCTTGATAAAACTTTCCAAATCAATTGCATCTAGTAAACCTTCAGGAGAAGAAGTTGCAGAACAACTACATCTAATAATATTTCACTTTCTCATATTGCCATTGGAAAAATAAATTTCGCAGGGAAAATTCTGCTTTCGTATCAATTAATCTTGCAGCTAAATTATCCAAAAATATCCCCAGTATATCCTCGAGGAACCAGTATCACTGGATCAATCGTCACTTTCTTGTTTCTATTATCTTTTTATGAAAAAAAAAATCAATGAGTTGTTGAATCTTCATCATTGTTCGATGATAATCCAGCTGTGAGTTCAATCATCGTTTTGTTTGCCACAGAAAACATTAACGTACACGCGGTACACATTCACTGACGTCATCTGACATTCGCACTATTAATATTATATTTACAAGTGATACGATTCAGCAAACGTGGACGGCGTTTTCTCGTCTAAAAAATAATTTCTATTGTTAATAGAGATTATTTTTAATTTTTTTTTGGGGTGGGGGGTGGACTGGAGAATGATTTCTCATTGTAGAGGTGATTGAGCAAAAATTTTGTAATTCTCGGGGGAAAATTATTTTTCGTGTCAATTCCATTTGCTCGCATGAGGTGTTTAAGGAAGAAGTCTTTTAATGCAAAGAAAATTGGGGAAATTGTTAAACAGATCAATATTAATTGCCAATTGTTGATGCTGTACTTGAGTTTTTTCTCAAGACATTTTGAAAGACGATTTTAATACTTTTTTGGGTAAATGCAGTCGTGACATTCTTGATTAGTTGTCATGCGGAAATATTATTAGAAAAAATAGTGGAAAATCTGTTGTCAATAATGTTTTGTCATTTCAACGAATTGAATCAAATTAATGGATTTCATTGGCTCATCAGTTCTTACTTGATCGATAATTAATTGAATATTAAATATTCATGCAAAATGAAAAAACTGCTCGAAATGCAAAATAAATATCCCATTTTAATTGCTTTCAATTCACCAGAAGTTGACGAAGGAAAAAAAATAAAAAAATCAATATTTTCGCTAAAATTATTTTCTTATCAATGTCCTTTTTAATCTCTTCTTGATTGAATACTCAGAAAATAGTTCTAATTTATCGTCTTTAAACTCTTAAAGAATAATTTTGTGACTAAATGGATTTATATGCAAGTCTTTTTCAGGCAAAATAAACCACCAATTTCTAGAGCTCAAAATACAAAAAAACAATTTTTTAAAAATTCAATACTTTTGCAAAAATATAGATTCTCACTGACCCATTTCATTTTTCTCAATATTCAAAAACTCGATCTAATTAATCTTCTTTAAACTCTTAAAGAAATTTTTGTGCCTAAATGAATTTATATTCAACTCATTTCTAAACAAACTAAACCAACAGATTTGACTCAAAAAAAAAAAGTTCAATTCCTCTCAATTCAAAGAACTCCCCGAAAAAAATCACCATTTTTGCTCTTCTCCTCCGTAGCCTCCCTCACCCCTGCCCCCGCCCCCTAAATCCGGCAGTGCAAGTTCCCGCCCCAAACCTCAATTGACCCCCCCATACCCATCACAGAGTACTCCCCCCCCGAATGAATAATAATAGTAAACATTACCGTTATGTCTTAGGCCCATCCCACTCAATGAGATACTGTAGCTGTCCCTCAGGACCGATTCTCTTAGCCCTAACGACGAACTTCTCCCCCGAGGCAATTCTGTTAGCAGCCCCAAAATACATATTGACAGAGGACTTGAGATCGTCCATGGAGATGTCAGGCGCGTTCTGCTTGACAGGCGAGCATTTCGGTGAGGTTGGAGCAGTTCTGCTCTTGCTCTGTCCCCCCTCAGGTGGCACGAGTTTCTCATTGCTCTGACGTTGCCTCAATCGCCTCCCATTGAGCGCATAATCCACGCAATTGGCTATTTGGCTATTGGTGCTGCTGGAGGAGCTGTTGAACGAACTCCTGAGGTTCCTGACGAAGTCCCCCTTGACCTCGTTGCTTCTGGCTGGCAGAATGGCAGCTGTTTTGCTGGCAGTCGTCTGGAACTGCTGCTGCTGGGGCTGCTGGGGTGGGCGACCCCTGCGGTGCTGTCGCCTCCTCTTGACCTGTCCATTTCTGTCAATTATTATGTCCTTCTCGGACAATTGACGCTTCGCAGGCCTCACTATCGGCGGTTGCGATATCACCGGCGTCAGGGGGAGGGGGAGGGTGATGGGGGGCTGGCTGTAGGGGAGGGGTGTGCTCGAGGTGCTCTGCACGGGGGTGCCCAGGAGCTCGCTTAAATTACGGAAGGGGTTGTTCTTTCCCTCGAAGTCCTTCGGAGGCGGAATGAAGGAGTCCAAGGTGCCACGTGAGCTCGTCTCGTCTCCGCTAGTGTCTGCTGGGGTCGAGGGGGGCAGGGGGTGCATCAGGTCCACTGAACTTGGCACTGAGAGCTCACTCATGGCTGATGTCGTTGCTGGCGGCGTTGGCGGCCCTGACACCGAGGTCGGAGGGGTCGGAGGCAGGTCTGACACCTCTGGAGACCTCGTTTTACTCTGGTGGGGCAGGAAGAATTTGTTATTCGCTCGGTCGTGGGGGTCTGGGTAATGGGGCCTGGGGGGCTCCAAGGGGGAATAGAAATGGTTTATTTAGGGGAATTATTGTGGACAAGTTTTGAGGGCACTTCAAATTTTTTGTCGGTTGTGTGCTTTATTTTTTATTTTATCGAGATTGAAAAAAGGGATCTGATGTTTTAGTGTCTTGTATTTTTTAATTTTTTGTTAAAGACGATGAGAAATGGACAAACCCTTTATTCTTTATTTTGTCTCAATGGGAATTATTTATTTTTTTGAATTCTTCATTTTTTATTTTGGCGAAATTTAAAAAAGGATCGGATGTTTTAGCAGCTTATGTTTTTATTATTTTTTTATTGAAGACGCTGGGAAATGGACAAACCCTTTATTCTTTATTCTGTGTCAATGGGAATTATTTATTTTTTATTCTTTATATTACCTTAATTGAAGAAAGAGATCTGATATTTTTACATCTTGTATTTTTTAATTTTCCTATTGAAGAGATTGTGCAATGGAAAAACTGGTGAATACCTATTTTTTTATTTGGGGGAATGATGGTGGAAATTTTTGGCGAGTGGAGAGTATGAGATTATTTTAGCAGCTGTGGTCCTTATTTTTTATTTTGGAAAAGGGATGATTTTAATTAAGTTTTCATGAAACTCCATGAAACCTCATGATGATTTCACCAGTTCTATTTTTTTATTGAGTAAATTGATTTTTAAAAATTGTAAACGTTTGAAAAATTAATAGATTGACATTTATTCAATAGGTTATTGCAAAAAATTTCATAACAATGCTCTAAAAAATCTAAAATTCCCAAATTTGAATGAAGTTTTTCCTCACAAATCGATAAAAAAAGATAGATATGTTGAAAGATAATTAAAATTGGACAAATCCCTATTCAATTTCGAAGATAGATAATCTAGAAGCTCTCTCAATGTAAAAAATCAGCTCTCAATCGTCTAAAAAATCCTACATTCCCAAATTTCAACAGAATTTTCTCTCATAAATCAAAAAAGAAAAAAATACATCGCAAGATAACTAAAATTGCACAAATCTCACATTTAATTTAAAAAACAGATAATGCAGGCAGGTTCATCGATACCAGGGTCAACTCTGTTCGACCACCGAGTAACGTAATTCAATCCACGTCGTCCCTCCCGCATTTTAATTGAGCTGAATTTCAAAGAGACTGACGAAAGCACGTTTATATTTATACCGATTCAAATGGTATCTGTCACGTTCTGGTATTTTTGAATCAGAAGACGCATTTATTTTTATTTCACTTTCATTTATTTTTGTTTCGATGAGAATAACGAAATATCGAGAATTTTGGAGGTTTTATTTGCGAAAAAATGAGGAATTTCAAGGATTAGAATGATGAAGGATAGATACCTTGGCAATAGCGTTTTTTAGGAGTTTCCTCGCCTTTCTGTATCTCGCCTCCCTCACCCCCTGCGCCTTGGCAGTATCAACACAGCCTTTCTCCCGTTTCTTGTGTTTCCTCAGCATTCTTTCACGTGAACTGCCAAGTGCCATCAATCTCCTTCGTCGTTGCAAACTTAATTTTGGAAAGGGGAACGACTTTTTAACAAATCCACCACCACTGTACCTAGCATCAAAATATTTTCGGTGGTGAGAGTGAGTGGCTTGTTTATGTTTTTTGCTCTCTGTTTTGTTTCAGAATTAAAAACAAATTAAGGTAATCGAAGGGACATCTACAGTCTTGGTACAATGCACATTATCAATCATTTAATTTTTTAGTTTCATTCAATGGTCTAATTACGTTTGGAACGTTTTAATACTCTAAACATTTATTTTTCGTGAATAAAACATGACACTTATTTAAACTTTTGAGCGAATCTTTCTTCTATAAAATTAATTCCTGAAATTTTGAATCTCAAGAAATTTATTGTGAATTTGGAGAATTGGGTTCGAGAGTTGAACCTTTTTAGTTATATCAAGTCTGAAAATGGCAAATGTCAAATTGTTTCTAAAGTCTTGGTTTTTTTAAAATGTTTTTTGGGAGTTTATAATGACAAGTAAAGGTGGAACTTCAGAGAAATGAGTGATAGAATCAAATGTTGAATAGAAGTTTGACGAGAAAAAATTAAAAAACTGTGTAAAAACATTCTTAATAAATATAAATAAATATATTTATTCTTAATAAATATTCTCTTTTTATAAATAAAACATGAAAATTATTTGAATTTTTGAACATCTTTCCTTTTGTGATGAAATTGATGGTGAATTTAACGAGACGATTTCTAGAGTGAACATTTATGGTTTATCAGTTATGAAAAAGACATTAGCCTCAATAATTGCAATTTTCCAGTTATTCCTAAATTTTTATTTCAATTTCTTGAATGTTTTAACAGTTTACAATGTCAGTTACAGTTGGAAGTTCGAAAGAATGAATGATAAAATCAAATGTTGAGTAAAAATTGAACAAGAAAATTTTTTAAAAATGTGTGAAATATGCTGTCTCAGTGACCATTCTCTCCTCATTAAAAAAAAATGAAAATTATTCAAACTTCTGGATTTGTTAAGAATTTTCAAAACCGATTTCTAGACTATAGAATTCACAAATTTAGTCCTTATCACAAAAAACCGTATCAAACTTCGATAACAGCAACCTCGAATGTTTTCTAATAACTCACAACGACAAATTATATTAAACTTTCAAAAACGATGAATAATAAAATCAAATTTTGAGCACAATTCACCAAAAAACGTTTTTAAAAACTCTGAAACAAAAATTCTCGAGCTTTTAGAAAAATTATAAAAACTGTGTGAATTATACAGTCTCCGTAACCATTCCCTCCTCATTAAAAAAAAATGAAAATTATTCAAACTTTTGGATTTGTTAGGAATTGTCAAAAACGATGTCTAGACTATAAAATTCACAAAATTAGTCCTTATCACAAAAAACAGTATCAAACTTCGATAACAGCAACCTCAAATGTTTTCTAATAACTCAAAACGACAAATTACATTAAAATTTCAAAAAAGATGAATAATAAAATTAAATTTTGAGCACAATTCACCAAAAAACGTTTTTAAAAACTCTGAAACAAAAATTCCCGAGCTTTTACCCTCCCAAATGGCCCATAAAATCATAATCTTCTGGAAGCCTAGATCGTTATGCAATAGATTTCTAACATCTCAAACGTAAACAAATTGATTACGACTGCAAAAGAGCAATCGCACACACTAGAAAATGAAAATTTCATCAATTACAAAAAATCATCAATAAAAAACACAAAAAGTATTACTGAAAAAATCGAACAACAAAATTAAACGTCGATCATGCAATCACAAAAGAAACTGTCGAAGTTCTTGAACACCTTTCCCAAAAAATGAATATCAAAAGAAACGAACCTGTCGCGCAGTGACTGAGTAGCTGTTTCCTTGGAGCTGGGGCTTGGGCACGTACTCTGATCAGCCGCAGTGCTTTGGAACACAGTACCTCGCATCACTACGTCCGATGGATGCACTGAGATCTCAACGTTCTCAGGACTCTGTTTTATTGGACTCGGTGGCTTTGTACTTTCTGGTATTGTTATCGAACTAAAACAAAATATTTTCATAAAACATTACATAATTCTTCAAATGAATGGGAAGAGAATAATGAGATGAAGACTGTGCTATTTCCAATCGATTCAATCCATTTCCCACGTCACTTCAATTCTCCACAATACATTATTGAACGCAAAAACTGGAGAAGAGGTCCAGATTATCCTTCGGTTTCATCACCACTTGCCATGGAAATTTCCACTGGATTCGGTGAGACATGGTGAAATAACAAAAGCATCTAAACTACTCTTACATAATTAAGCATATCGTTTATTTTAGATTTTTCATTCAGAAAGTTGTCAAGTTCAATTAAACCAAAAGAAGCATCATTTCCCTTTTTAGTATGAAAAAATGTCTATAAAATAGAGATAAAAACAGCATATTTTAGAATTTTCATGCAAATAATACGCCTATATCAACATGTTTTAATTTTTCCAATGTGTAAATTAGTGTCGAACAATCCTGACGTAATTATCCTCTAATTCGCGTAATTACACTCTAATGGATTTAACAATGCACAGATCTATCCAATAATACATCAATCATTCTCTAAAACATTGTTAAAAAAAACTCTCTATCTACTCTAATTTCAATAATAGAAAGTTTGGAGATTTCACTTAATCTAGGTGCTTTAGAAGTGTCAACTCGCCCCCAAACTTGTCAATAATCTTTTTTGTAAGTCACCTTTCGGGCGGCAGAAGATACTGCAGTCTTTTGTTCCCACCCCAGCATCTCCTCAAAACGGAATCGTCAACGAGACCAGTTGATGGTAAATTAACAACTGGACACGGCGGTGGTAATCTGACTCGCAGACCCCATATCGTTGTACGTTTCTTTATTTCACGACCACATTTGAATCGGTTTCTGTTGTTGCAGAGAATCTGGAGGATTGATTCACGACGTGTTGCTGCATTTGCTTGGAGAATCTAGAAATAATACAGTTATTAAAAGTAAAATATGGGAAATACTTTTATTTTTCGTTTTGAGATTTTTTCTCATAAACATTGGATTGTCTCGATGTCAAGTAATTTTAAGAAACTGTTTCGTTTGGAAATTCAATTTCTCATAACAACATTCATTATCGAGATGGAAATATTATTGACATTCGTATTAGTTTTAAAAGTTGAAGTGTTTAATTGTGGAATTATTTTTATAATCAGTGATATGAGAATAAAATTTCAAGAGATATTTTTTGTTGAAAATTTTTTCAGTTATAAAACAGTTTTTTTTATATTTTCCTCTAAAGTCATTAATTAGGGAAATAAATGCATAATTCAAATGTCAAGATATTTTTTCTTTTAAATTTAATTCTCCATAATGAACATTATTTTTATATTTTCTTATAAAACACTCATAGTCGAGACAAAAAAACAATTAACATTTACATCAATTGATAATTAATTTCAAAAAAATATTTTAGGATTAATTACTGCATAATTGTCAAAAATGTCAATAGAACATTAATTGAAAAAATTATGAATTGAAGTGTTTAATTGCGAAATTATCTCGATAAAAAATATTTTTCCAACAAAATATCGATCCAATTGTTTAACTTACATTAGGAGGTAGTTGCAGTGAATTCCAATTCTCCATGGCATAAGGTATGATAACCGTATCAAGATCGTAATATTTCTTTGCATTATAAACAGTGAGATTGTACAGCATCAGGTGCACCAGATCCACCCACTTCAGCTCGAGTCGACGAACGAATTCGTTTCCATAATTGCAGGTTGAACAGACAAATACGTAAAACCTTGACGAAAGAAAGAAACTTTGAGTGAGAATGTCGTTGGGCATCGAATATTTATATTGGATATAATTATTTTTATTCTTACCTGTCTCCACTGTAGAGTGGATGAGTGAGACAGCTGACACATTTTTCATGAAACCACATCTTACATCTGGCACACTGCAGCATCTGCGTGTACCATTCGCCGTTCAATCCACAATAGCAATAAATTTGTTCGGCATTTACTCGGTGATGAGTGTCCCATGTCAACATTTCAGGCTGAATAAAAATGCAAAGAGTTTTTTCAGTAGTTTTCATTTTTTAGAAGAAAATTTTAGTCTTTTTGGTTTAAAAAAGTAAATTATGTGTAATTTATTCATTTTTGTGAACCCCAGCGCTTGCTTGCATGTTTTATTCCGAAATTATTGGAAGAAATGTGCCAAGTAGTTAGAGTAATATTAGAATCTTGATTGAATTCCAAATACTGCATCAAGAGTTCATTAGTGAAATTGAAAAAATTGATAAGAAAGAGAAATGAGGTATTTAATCTTCAATAACTTGAGATTGGCAGAGTGAAATTTACCGAGTCTTTTTTCGTTTTGAAGATATTTGTTTGGACTTTAAAATGAGACATGATTCATTCAAATCGTATCATTTCATTCAGAGATTATCCCCCAAAACTGACGAATAAAATCGACTGTCGAATAATTTGTAGTCGTTCAAATTTAGGTTTTGGATTTTTTTATGTGACAAAGTTTTTCTTCAATTGTTTGCTAATGACCGGATACAACTGAGTCTGTTCCTTTCAAATGTAGGTATTGTTGAGCCCTATCAATCGCCATTAATAAAATTTAATTCATCGATTCGTTTTTTTAATTTTCGAATTTTTTCAAAAATCTGTTGTCCCACGATAACTAAAATAAATGTTCTGAATTGATTGAATGATGGCTTAACAAATTTGTTCGGATGTCCTTTTGACCGAGTTCTAAGATGAAGGCGATACCAATAATCGATATTTTGATTTATTTAAAAATTTGCAAAAATTTGGTATTTTTTGAAAATCAAAATTCCGGGGATATCTTTGAACATAATGCTTCAAATGAATTCAATCATAGCTGAAAATGTTTGTTTTAATGCCATTAAGTCGAGGTTAAAAGATGATTACGATAGCTATATTGGTTGATTTAATTTTTACGATGATTGTTGAAAATTTCGAATTTTTCATGAATTTCCCTGAAAGTGAGCTTGCTGATGGTTTCTTCAAATGTGATGTTTCAAATCCATTCAAGTATGTATAAATAAAATTTTTCTATTAACATTTTATCGAAGGGCTCAGGGGAGAGATAGAACCGTAAAAAGGACAATCGGTTGTGTAGAATAAAGCGATAATAAGAATAATGATGATGATAACACTCAACTAAGTTGAAAATCTGCCAGAATTAGTTGAAAAGAAATCTTACTCAATTTAATAAACTGAAATAAACAATGAATTATACATGATAGAAGGAAATCATGTGCAAAATAATCATTCGGAAGCATATTGCTAATTTATTAGCAAAAATAACTGTACTATATGCAATACAAGAGCAATTTCCCACTCGTTTATTCAGGATCGATAATTTCTATTTTCGTACTCACATCGTAAGGTAATTTAGTCAAATCCTGAGGTGGTGGTTCCGGTTGATCCCTCCCACTGCAGACCTTCCTGATATTCGCCTTGATCATAGAATTCTTGGGATCCCCAGACTCTCTCACCCTGGGCTGACAGTCCACACACCTCTTGCACATCCAGTGTGAATCTGGGGATGCGTCCTCCTTGGACACATGAGGCTGATGACACAGCTGGTGATAACCCCTGCCACACTTGTCGCAAACGACAATATCATTGTCACTCTTTGGCTGTGATTTTTTACACAGTACACACATAACATCTGAATCTGGCATAGCGAGTTTAGTGAGCTCCTTGGCAGTTGACCAGGCTGATGTATTGTCGAGAAATTTAACCAGGCATCTTTCGCGTGATAAGTCAACCTCAACGATTGTACCAAGGTAGTATTTTCCATCTTTGTGCTGGAGCAGGACATCCTCACCGTGGGAGAAACCAAGGCGTTGTTCCCTGGTGGTGCTATCCGGCACAGCCGGACTCTCCTCTGGCTCAGACATCTTTCTGCCCTACTGCTGGAAAATATAAATAGATATTTTGAGGTGACAATTTGGGGAATTAGAGGAGGGAGAGAGAGAGAAAGAGGGAGTGCAATATTATCTCAAAGACAAATTCATCAATTGAGAAAATATTCCATTCCATTCATAATTTAATGGATCATTAATATATCATGAAAAAATCTATAATATGTATTTTGCCTGTGTCTCTTGTTGTGAGGAATTGTTCTTGAAGTGGGGAAAATAACTCTTTTCGTTTGTTAACTAATACAAATATCCAGCAATCGACGTAAAAGAATAGTTTAAGGTCGTCACAAAAGCTGAGAATTGTAATTTGCGTGAACAAAATTTATAACATTTCATGAAGAATTCACAGAATTATTAAAGTTTCGAAAATAGTCTGAAGTGCCAATTTTGCATCTCAATATTCGTAACTCGAGAATCAAAAACCGCCTAGACTGGTAGAAAGAATTGTTTCATTCATGATCATTAACATTTTAGAGAAAAATAAAAAATAGTCATTTGGCCTTTTTCATTTGCTGTGTGAAAAGAAACCCCAATGAACAAAATAAATTCTCATTCCAATATCCTTCAACGAAAGTGAATTCCTGCACTCTTCAACTCACAGAAGATTTTTCATTCAGAAATATCAACAGCAAGTCAATGAAATTCAAAACAGATAATTACGTGAGAGTAAAGTAAATCAGCCTATTGTCAACATCAACAATTAGTCTCACATCTGTCGTAATAACAAAATTCTCCAGATGGAGCAGAAGAAGAAATTCTACAGAAATAAAAACAATAAAAAATCATCGAACCCTCACAGAAAATAAAGCACCCAAATAAACAAAAAACGAAGCCCTGAACAAAATAAATTCTCCTCAAAACCCCAAAATTTTCCAAAATTCTACTCATTGAATACGAATGTGAATACCTCCATTCTTAAAATCACAGGAGATTTTTCATTCAGAAATATCAACAGCAAGTCAATGAAATCCAAAACAGAGAATTACGTGAGAGTAAAGTAAATCAGCCTGTTCACAATATCAACAATTATTTTCACATCTTTCATAACAACAAAATTCTCCAGAAGAAGCAGAAGAAGAAATTCTACAGAAATAAAAACAATAAAAAATCATGGAAAATAAAACACCCAAATAAACCAAAAAGAAACCCTGAACAAAATAAATTCCTCTCAAAACTCTCCATAAAAATAAAAAATTCTCCTCATTGAATCCCTGCGAATGCGAATACCTCCACTCTCACAATCACAAAACATTTTTCATTCAGAAATGTCAACAGCAAACTCGACGAAATCCAAGAGAGATAATTCCGTGAGAGTAACGTAAATCGCAGATTCAAACCATCAACAATTACCCTCACACTCTACATTCACACCAACAAAATTTCCAAAGGAATACGAAAAAGAAGAAATCCTCCAGAAATAAAAACACAGTAAAACCCCCTAAACCCTCCCACAAACTGAGCCACCCAAATAAACCAAATAAATTCTCCTCAAAACTCTCCATAAAAATAAAAAAATCTCCTCATTGAATCCCTGCGAATGCGAATACCTCCACTCTCACAATCACAAAACATTTTTCATTCAGAAATGTCAACAGCAAACTCGACGAAATCCAAGAGAGATAATTCCGTGAGAGTAACGTAAATCGCAGATTCAAACCATCAACAATTACCCTCACACTCTACATTCACACCAACAAAATTTCCAAAGGAATAGAAAAAGAAGAAATCCTCCAGAAATAAAAACACAGTAAAACCCCCTAAACCCTCCCACAAACTGAGCCAGCCAAATAAACCAAAGAGTTCCCCCGAGCAAAATAAACCCCCTCCTCCGCCGAATTTTCCAAAACCTCCCTCGAACACCTGTTAATTCCCAGCCACCCTCTCCCCCCCGCCCGGAACCCCCTGAAAAAACAAAACCCCAATTCTCAGAGCGACTCCCCAACAAATCCTGATCCCACCAGCACCGACATGTCCCCTTCATAACAAAAAAAAGATGCCATTACCCTCCATTACCAAAACCCTTCCTCGCACGAGTCCCAACGCCCCGGCCCTCGCCCCTCACGAACCCTCCCCCCCAGACCCCATGCCCCCCCAAAATAATCATTGAACCCCCTGTCCCCGAAAAATCGTGGAAGCTGCGCCCATATGATCGGCATCTCATTAAAAACCAGTTCGCACTCTGCGAACGGGAGCACTGGAGGTGCCACCGATGGACTCGCAGTCCCGTCCACTCAAAAACTCCCAAACAAAAGCCCGAGGGCCCAAAACCCCCCGAAACGCACGAAAATAAAACGGCAAACGTCATTTTGGGGCGAATTCCCGAGGCCTCGAGGCGAAAAGAACGAGAAATGAAGAGAGCAATCGAGCCCAGACGACAACGCGAATAATATTCGCACCCCCGACCCTCAATTTCCCCTCCCACTGGGCCCCGAGGGGACCCCCTCAACGTCGGGGAGCGGATAATGCCGGGAAAAATCGGGGAATCAAGTGTTTTGCAGACGTACCTTGGCTTTTTCGCCGACTGAATCAGTCCCGATTGTTATCCTCCATCCTTCCCTGGTTTTCTCGTCGGCCATTCGCAACGACCACGCACAGTGCCCCGCCGCGGTTCTCCCCAGAACACTCACACACTGACACACATGCAGTTTATGCACAAAAAATCGGGCGGCAAGGGCCGATTTCCGAGCGCGAATAACTCGCGATTTATCGGCTGCGGGGGGATGAGGGTTTTCGGGGGGACTGACGGCGCCCCGAGGGGCGCGAGGTGGGCCGGCGAGGGCTGGAGACGCTCGCGGACGGAGGTTATAGGAGGTTGTAGTCGGAGTGCTTTGGGAATTCGAATGACGGTCGGCCGCCATGTGAGGGGAGCACTGAGCGAGCACTGCGGCGGTCAAGTGAGAGACTGCTTTTCGAGCGGCGGCGGTGGGGATTGGCTTTCGTTTTGAATCGGGAGCGCGAGGGGAAGGCAGCGGTTGTTCAAATTTTAGTTTAGGGGGTCGGTAAGCATGTGGTAGGAGAGAGTTAGTTATGTGATTTAAAGGGGGGTCAGTGGATTTTAATTAATACTTGTGGATGAATTCGGCTTCTTGGGTGTCGGAAGAATAGGGGAGGTTGGGGTGAAACGGACACGACTTTTTTTTAATGTTAATAAGGGGTGGATATGGTGATGAAGTTTAATCATTTGTTTTTCTATACAAAGAACAATTCTTTCCCTTTGGGACATGCGTAAACGTTCTGAGTTATGACCAATTTTAAAAAAGCCTAGTGTCCGTTTTACCTTACTCTACCCTAATTCTATTTCTGGGTGACAAAATTATTATTGACGGTTGCTCGGACTTGACGAGGATCGTAGGTAAATGAGAACTTGAAACTTGAAACTACCGGAATTTTTTGCATTTTTGCTTCCAATCGTAATATTCAAATAAAAAAATTATAAATAAATGAAATATGTATTGTAATCGTTCAAATTTAAGCTGCAGATTTTTTGTGTTATGTCGACCCAGTTCGCTAATGAATGGGTGGAACTGAATCTTTTTTTTTCAAATGTAGATATTGTTGAGCCCTATCGATCGTCATTAATTAAAATTTCATTCATCGATTATTTTTTTTAATTTTGGAATTTTTTCGAAAATCGTTGTCCCACGATAACTAAAACAAATGTTTTGAATTGATTGAATGATGGCTTAAAAAATTGTTTCGATGTCCTTTTGACCGAGTTCGAAGATGAAGGCGGTAGCAATAATCGTTAGTTTGATTTATTTGAAAATTTTCAAAAATTTTGTTTTTTTTGAAAATCAGAATTCCGAGGATATATTGGTTGATTTGATTTTTATGCTGATTGTTGAAAATTTCGAATTTTTCATAAATTTCTGATGGTTTCTTCAAATGTGATGTTTCAAATTCATTCAAGCATAAATAAAATAAAAAAAAAAATTCTATCAACATTTTATCGAAGGGCTGAGGGGAGAGATAGAACCGTAAAAAAGACAATCGGTTGTATAGAATAAAGCGATAATAAGAGTAATGATGATGAGAACATTCAACTAAATTGAAAATCTGACAAAATGAGTTAAAAAGAAATCTTATTCAATTTAATAAAATGAAATAAACAATGAATTATACATGATAGAAGGAAATCATGTGCAAAATAACCATTCGAAAGCACATTGTTAATTTAAAATCAAAATCAAGTTTAAGGGTGAACAAAAGCTTAATTACGAATTAGAATAAATCCATTCAGAGTAGAACAATAGAATTTATTTTCATCGGTGTTGCAATTACTGCTTTACACCTGCACAACCCTCTCCTTCTCAACACAGCAATAGCAATAAATAATAAAACAATTCATTTCACTAACATGAAATTTATGTAATTTAAATAGAGCTATTCTCTGGGCAAAAGTAGGCAAATGTGGATGGATTGAATGGGCTATTGTTGGGAATCGGGAGTAGGAGCTGAATTTCTTGCGGATGACTAGGGAGAATAAAGGAAGTATTCAATGGGTTTCTAGTTGTTTACTGAGACGATTAGGGTTTGTGATTGAAACTGACGAATTGGGGGAGCTAGGGGTGACTAAGTATATTGACAAGCGAATCTTACGTATAATAAATCGGTTATCTGATTTCTGTTTACGACGTACCGTTATCTGTTTTCCGTTTGACACGAAAATGATGTAATGGGTTTTAATGAGAAATTTTACATTGAAAAAAACATTAATTTACAGAAATTTTATTTATTCCTCGTCACCACAAGCCTCTTCCTAATTACAATCCACTCACAATATTCATAATTAATCAAACCGCTATGTTCATTCGAAATCACCATTTCCAAAAAATTTAATTGTCCTCTAAACTCGCAGCATTTGCATGACAAAAATAGCCACATAAATAGGGAAAAAACACATCTTAATTAGAAATGGCTCAGTGAGCTCGATTGGTCTAGAATTCTTTGAATTCCCACGAAATTAGGACATTCTCTTCTTATAATAAATCTGCGCCTGATATCTGTTTACGACTCCCCCAAAAATGACGAAATGTGTTGCAATGGGAATTTTACATTTAAAAAAACATTAATTTCCAGAAATTTTATTTATTTCTCGTCCTCACGCTCGTCACCACGAGCCTCTTCATAATCACAATCGACTCACAATATTCATAATTAATCAAACCGCAATGTTCATTCGAAATCACCATTTCCAAAAAATTTAATTGTCCTCTAAACTCGTAGCATTTGCATGACAAAAATAGCCACATAAATAGGGAAAAAAACACATCTTAATTAAAAATGGCTCAGTGAGCTCGATTGGTCTAGAATTCTTTGAATTCCCACGAAATTAGGACATTCTCTTCTTATAATAAATCTGCGCCTGATATCTGTTTACGACTCCCCCAAAAATGACGAAATGTGTTGCAATGGGAATTTTACATTTAAAAAAACATTAATTTCCAGAAATTTTATTTATTTCTCGTCCTCACGCTCGTCACCACGAGCCTCTTCATAATCACAATCGACTCACAATATTCATAATTAATCAAACCGCAATGTTCACTCGAAATCACCATTTCCAAAAAATTTAATTGTCCTCTAAACTCGTAGCATTTGCATGACAAAAATAGCCACATAAATAGGGAAAAAACACATCTTAATTAAAAATGGCTCAGTGAGCTCGATTGGTCTAGAATTCTTTAAATTCCCACGAAATTAGGACATTCTCTTCTTATAATAAATCTGCGCCTGATATCTGTTTACGACTCCCCCAAAAATGACGAAATGTGTTGCAATGGGAATTTTACATTTAAAAAAACATTAATTTCCAGAAATTTTATTTATTTCTCGTCCTCACGCTCGTCACCACGAGCCTCTTCATAATCACAATCGACTCACAATATTCATAATTAATCAAACCGCAATGTTCACTCGAAATCACCATTTCCAAAAAATTTAATTGTCCTCTAAACTCGTAGCATTTGCATGACAAAAATAGCCACATAAATAGGGAAAAAACACATCTTAATTAGAAATGGCTCAGTGAGCTCGATTGGTCTAGAATTCTTTGAATTCCCACGAAATTAGGACATTCTCTTCTTATAATAAATCTGCGCCTGATATCTGTTTACGACTCCCCCAAAAATGACGAAATGTGTTGCAATGGGAATTTTACATTTAAAAAAACATTAATTTCCAGAAATTTTATTTATTTCTCGTCCTCACGCTCGTCACCACGAGCCTCTTCATAATCACAATCGACTCACAATATTCATAATTAATCAAACCGCAATGTTCACTCGAACTCACCATTTTCAAAAATTTAATTGTCCCCTAAACTCGTAGAAAATCGCACGAGTGCATTTACAAATGGCATTTGCATGACAAAAATAGCCACATAAATAGGGAAAAACACACATCTTAATTAGAAATGGCTCAGGGAACACATGTAGCTCTCCTGAGCTCGATTGGTCTAGAGTTCACTGAATTCCCACGAAACTAGAACATTTTCTTCTTGACAGCGGTGAATCGCTCCATGTACTGGTCGTACCCTTCCAAATGCGCGATCTGTTTATTCTCGAAGAGATTCCCCTCAAGTGCGATGTTCGATATTTTGGAGTCCTTGAGAATTCTCGGGGGTATCGCGTTCAGCTGGAGGCAGTTCTCCTCGAGTCTCAGGATCTTCAGTCTCGGACATTCTGCGATTTTCTCAGACAATACTGACACCTGCAATTATTCGAATTTTCTCACATCAATTATTCACATTCATTTTTTGTTATTTAAAGATATAGAAAATTTTGTAGTATAAATAATGTTGAAATAATTGATTGAGCATAAACAATATTTCCTCGATCCAAATAAAGACTTTATTACTTAAAAAATAAATAATTTTTGAGGTGACAATGGAACGAATTGAACATTTAATAATCGTACTTTTGGATGAGACAAATTTTTCATTTGATTCTTTGAATAGAAGAATACATGAAATACATTTGAAATTAACTATTCATTTCATGTATTTAACGCATTTCCATTACTAGTTCATCAATTGACAGTAAAAAAATTTTCGAAATGAGTAAAAAAAATTATAGATAAGATATTTGATTCTTGATTTTGAATGGGATTGAATTCATTTACATTTAAAAATGTAAACAAATGTTTCCTTAATCAAAATAATGACTGTCTTCAGTCGAAAATGAAATTTTTCCTCGTAGGATGAAGAAAAAGTATTTATTAAGGCGTAATCATCCTTTATTTGGATCAAATAAATTGATTATTTGGTTTTAAAGACGATTTCTACGAAATTGATTATTTATTTGATATACTACAAACATTTTCATCTAAATAAATACGAATTTATCATTATTTTCGATTATTAAAAATATTTGAAACAAATTAAACAAATGGGAAAAGATTTCCTTCTATCGTATATCATTTATAGTTTTATAGTATTTCATTCAATTGAATTCTGAAGTATTTACTATCTGATATCTAATTTAAAACATCGCATCTTCACACTTATTTCAATAGAAATATTGGACTATCGATGTGTTCACCTTAACTAAACGAGCGTAGGGACATGGAATATTAAAAAGTAGTAATTATCATGATTAATATAAGTGAATTCTAATTCTGGAGTTTTTACTTTCTGATATCTAATTTAAAACACCGCATCTTCACACTCATTTCAATATAAATATTGGACTATCGATGTGTTCACCTTAGCTAAACGAGCGTAGGGACATGGAATATTAAAAAGGCCGTGACTATTCGCACCATTGCGTGAATCACTCCCGTACACTCCATACACTTCACGCATGCGTGGAGTGTCTGGAGTGTACGGGAGTGATTCACGCCATGGTGCGAATAGTCACGGCCTTTTCAATATTCCATATCCCTACGCTCGTTTAGCTAAGGTGAACACATCGATAGTCCAATATTTCTATTGAAATGAGTGTGAAGATGCGATGTTTTAAATTAGATATCAGAAAGTAAAAACTCCAGAATTAGAATTCACTTATATTAATCATAATCATTACTATTTTTTAATAGGCCGTGACTATTCGCACCATTGCGTGAATCCCTCCCGTACACTCCATACACTTCACGCATGCGTGGAGTGTCTGGAGTGTACGGGAGTGATTCACGCAATGGTGCGAATAGTCACGGCCTATTAAAAAATAGTAATGATTATGATTAATATAAGTGAATTCTAATTCTGAAGTTTTTACTTTCTGATATCTAATTTAAAACATCGTGACTTTACTCATTTCAATAGAAATATTGGATTATCGATGTGTTCACCTCAACTAAACGAGCGCAGGGACATGGAATATTAAAAACTAGTAATTATCATGATTAATATAAGTGAATTCTAATTCTGAAGTTTTTACTTTCTGATATCTAATTTAAAACATCGTGACTTTACTCATTTCAATAGAAATATTGGATTATCGATGTGTTCACCTCAACTAAACGAGCGCAGGGACATGGAATATTAAAAACTAGTAATTATCATGATTAATATAAGTGAATTCTAATTCTGAAGTTTTTACTTTCTGATATCTAATTTAAAACATCGTGACTTTACTCATTTCAATAGAAATATTGGATTATCGATGTGTTCACCTCAACTAAACGAGCGCAGGGACATGGAATATTAAAAACTAGTAATTATCATGATTAATATAAGTGAATTCTAATTCTGAAGTTTTTACTTTCTGATATCTAATTTAAAACATCGTGACTTTACTCATTTCAATAGAAATATTGGACTATCGATGTGTTCACCTTAGCTACACGAGCGTAGACTCATCTACTTCGACCCAAAAAATCCAAAACTCAAATAACCCGACCAAACCCTCTCCTGACCTGATTCTGATTCAGATTCAGCTCCGTCACGTGTAGTCCCGCCACCCCATCAGGAACGACCGTCAGCTTGTTCTTCGAAAGGTCCAGCATGTCCAGGTGCTTCAGCCCACTGAACACCAGCGGAAACTCCGTAATATGATTCTGCGATAAGTTCACTTGCTTGAGGTTCGCGAGGTTCCCCAGCGAATCGGGCAGTTTATTAATCAAATTGCAGCTCGCGTTCAGTATCTCCAGCTTCACCAGGGCCCCGAGGGCCTCCGGCAGCGTCCGCAGTTTGTTCTGACTCAGATTCAACTGCTTCAGCAGCGTGTAGATCCCGATCTCATCCGGAATGACTTTGAACATGTTCTGGGACAGATCGAGGGTCCTCAGCACAGGCGCCAGCATCTGCAGGTTCGCCGGCAGCTCCAGCATCTTCCTCTGCGACAAATTCATTATCCCAGTCTTCTTCGCTGTCTCGTAGTGCTGCTTTATCTTCGCGTTTCCCATTTTCATTTATTTTATTCCTACTTTATTTCACGTTTTATTCTCTTCTATAATACGACTCTCACTATTCTACTTCACTTTATTATTTTGTACTATCGTTTCGATTAAATAATAAATCACGCTGTTGACTCCGTAAAATTTCAATTTTCCCGCCTAAACTAGTTTCAAAAATCGATGCGCGAGGGTGTTTTATCGAAATGATCGGATTGTCCGGAGTAAATGGAGCAACTCATCGGGTTCAGGGACTTCACGAGAAGTTTCTCTTCATAATTGGATTTGTTTTAATTTTATTATGTGTTGTACTTGACAGGGATTCGGTGGTGGCGGCCGGCCCCTTCAGGATGACCCGGTAATGGCAAAAACTTGGGAATTTAGTCCGTCGAAAGGGAGTTGATCCATTGGGATTGATTTGCCGTCGAAAATAACGGATGACAGTTTGTTGAACTCGTGGCGCTGGAATCGTTCCTCCACTTTTGAGTTGGCTCGCGCGAGAGGGGGTCGGGGATAATTGACACTTCACTTTTTGCGGGGTGTTGATGGTGGCGGCGGGTGGAGGAGTGGATTTTTATGGGCTTCTGTCAGTGGGTTGTGACACCTACTGACGCAATGTTGTGTGTAGCGTTCAGCTGGGGAGGAACACTAGATCAGGGACTGGAAACCTGACGGGGAAGCGATTTTGCGGGCGATAAATGTCTCCATGCGGTGGCGGGACCATTCAAATTCCATCATTTATCCCTACAAGATCTATGCGCGCGCTCTCGCGCGCGCTGATCTATTCATTTGTTGAAATGAAGAAATGGAATTCATTAAATTTCATTTTCTCATGAATACCTTATAAATATTGATAATGAATCAAAGAGAATTCGACTAATGATTGAAGTGAATAGCGAAGTAGAGTAAAGGAATCTATAAAGAATTTTTCATTTTCAATTAATTATCTTCAATTTTTTTAAATAATCGGTCGCCATAAAAGGACAGAATTTATTCATTTCACCGATGATATATATACATGTGAAATATATATATTATATATATATGACGTGAAACAAAAATTTACCTCTGAAGAATTTGAAATTATGTCACTGAAGAATTTGAAAATGCCGCGTGTTTTTTTTGGCAGATTCGAGACATTTCGATATAAAACAACTTCACGTTTCCTTCATCTTTAGTAAATAGGATTTTTTATTTGCTCTTGTTTTTTTCAGGATTTTAGCGGTTCATTCATTTCTAGCGATTAATTAGCGATTTATTGCTATTTTTTTCACGATTGATTAGTGATTTATTAATTTCTTGATGGAGTGGATCATTTATTTAGTTTCTAGAACCGCGGGCGATATCTCGAATCGAAAATGAGAACTCGAACGTGGAGATGTCTCGAACGAATGGAGAAAGTAAGGCGGTTTTCATGAGTGCAATCGTCTTGCGTCGAATTTTCATGAAGCCCGCCTGACGAACAAAAGAGAATTGAATGCAATTCTATGAAACATGAATAAACAAATCATAATTGTCCGAATGATTTAGGTCAGAGGAAAATAGAATAATTCTACTTTCTTAATATTGCGTTTACTAAGGTTTTCTTCGAACAAAGTTGATTAGAATTAATAGCTAGAATTATGAGATTATCTCACATTTTTGACGTTAAGGATAGGAGAATCTGAGTGCAATATAGTGAAAATGATGATCGATTTTTTCACTTTGAACAAATAATATTAATATCCAAATACAAAATTTCTGATATGAATAAAAAGAAGCTGTGACTCAATATTCCAAATGAAGTTTTAATTTTTAATTTGGTGCTGAAAACACGAGATGACAATATTCTAAACGCGGAATTATATTGATGAGATGAACAACAGATCAACTGAATTACCGTGTGAACTAACTAAAATTGATAACAGTGCGGGTACGCTCTTTCCGGAGGACTAATTAATTTTTTCGTAATGACATTTCTTGTAGCTCTCAATCTGCTCTACAAAAAAGGGTATAACAAAAAGTCTGCTGTCTCCCTCAGATTCCGAGATATTCATTGGGAACTGGTCAACAGTCAAAATTGACTTGTACCGTTTTACCACTTCGCTACTGAATTAATCCCCGCGCATGCGTTCTCGCACCAAAATAAATCCTCACCCCCCGCCGACCACCCGGAAACCGAGAAAATCACGATTCAGAGACTCGGGTGATTCCCGCGAGATGTCGCAGCGCGCTGTACGGCGCCTCAGCCCCGAAAGATGGTTGACAAACGAAAATGTAGCGGTGCACGTCGCGTTTACATTAGATTTAAATGGCATCTAGTGCGTAGTTTACAGAGTGGCCGGTTGAAAAAATGGTGAGATAGTGAAACACAACGTGCCTCCTCGGGTGTCCAGTGTTGTATTATCAAGTGGCAACACATTAAACCACGATGGCGGCCACACCGAAGTTGGAGAAGTACGCAGGTAAGGTTTTTGTCGTGAGAAGCACTCGGAGCGGTACATCGGGGGCTCCAAAACCCGCGAGTAGGACGTTCTCCCCTCGATGCCGGGGTAATTGTCGTTCCCCGGGAGATCCTGGGGCTCCGGGTGGCCGAGGCTGCCGCCGATGTCGGGGGGTTCTCGTCAGAATTGAGGGGATAACAATAGCAAACATCTCGGGTGATCTTATCTCGCATCTTCGCGTCTTATCGGGGGAGCCGATACCCCGGGGCGGTGAGGGGCTGCCTCCACCGGGCGCCAAACGTCAAAAGCATATGAGTGGGCATGCGGTGGCGCGTGTTTCGCGCCGGAACTACCCTGGTATCGCTTTTTGCTTCCGAATGGAAGCTTCGGGGGGATTAAATTCGAGTTTTGGATTTTTGGCTGCGAATGGAAGCGGTTAAATTCGAGTTTTTGATTTTTTTGTTATGTCGATCCAGTATAGGTGCAAATGAATCTTTTTTCTTTCGAATGTAGGTATTGTTGAGCCCTATCGATCGCCATTAATTAGAATTTAATTCATCGATCAGTTTTTTTAATTTTCGAATTTTTTCGAAAATCGGTTGTCCCACGATAACTAAAAAAAATGTTCTGAATTGAGTGAATGATGGCTTGAAAAATGTGTTTGGATGTCCTTTTGACCGAGTTCGAAGATGAAGGCGATAGCAATAATCGTTAGTTTGATTTATTTGAAAATTTGCAAAAATTTTGTATTTTTTGAAAATCAGAATTCCGGGGATATCTTTGAATATCATGCTTCGAATGAATTCAGTCACAGCTTAAAATGTTTGTTTTAGNTCGTTAGTTTGATTTATTTGAAAATTTGCAAAAATTTTGTATTTTTTGAAAATCAGAATTCCGGGGATATCTTTGAATATCATGCTTCGAATGAATTCAATCACAGCTTAAAATGTTTGTTTTAGTGCCATTAAGTCGAAGTTAAAAGATGATTACGATAGCTATATTGGTTGATTTGATTTTTATGATGATTGTTGAAAATTTAGAATTTTTCATGAATTTTCCTGAAAGTGAGCTTTCTGATGGTTTCTTCAAATGTGATGTTTCAAATTCCTTCAAGTATGTGTAAATAAAATTTTTCTATTAACATTTTATCGAAGAAGGGCTGAGGGGAGAGCTAGAACCGCAAAAAAGACAATCGGTTGTATAGATGAAAGACATAATAAGAATAATGATGATGATGACATTCGACTGAGTTGAAAATCTGACAAGTTCTGATTAGTTGAAAAGGAATCTTATTCAATTTAATAAAATGAAATAAACAATGAATTATACATGACAGAAGGAAATGATGTCCAAAATAACAATTCAGAGGCATAGCGATAATTTATTAGCAAAAATAACTATACTATATGCAATACAAGAGCAATTTTCCACTTGTTTTGGGTCGTATCAATCGATTGTTAACCAAAAAGTCCGGAATTAAAGAAAATCCTAATTTTTGTTCAATTGAGGATTTTAACTTCATTTCACGGTTTTAGTTTTTATTTCTGCAAAAAGTCAATTCCACTTGATATTAATTGTTGGTTTAAAAAAAAAATAATAATTTTCGACATACTTTGCGAAAAAAACAGAATCATAATGTATCAGGAGTATCAGGCTCTTTAATATTTCATTTTTGTTTTTTTTTCGATCGAAAGAACGAGCTCGAGGACAGTTTCTGGTATCGAACCGACGTCCTTCGACTTGGGATACGATCGAAATTGGGAGGGAATGGGGGCTTGTCACGATATGAAAATAGAGGGAGGAGTCTCACTGGGTTTATTGGACCTTGTTGTTTTTGTTGTGAGTCGAACTGGGGATTTATCGAGGGTTTTACGGGGCTGACGACTGGGGAATTAATTTCAAGATTGATTTTGGAGGGGAATTTCTGGATTTTTATCTCTGATGGATATATAAATTTCAAGAAGTAAATTATCCTGCAGTGGAATCGATTCTAAAACTAATCGCAAAATTAAATTGAATTTCTTCTTAAAAAATCCAAACAAAATTCACAATTTTCAATCATTAATATCTCGAGATCGGCAGAGTGGATTTTGACGACGTTAACGTCATTTTAAAGGCATTTTTTCATGCTTGAGAATGAGATGTGACTCGTTGAAATCGCATCTTTGGGTCAGGAGATCTTGAGGATTAAGTGAACAACTTTTTTCTCTTCTTAAATTTCACTTTTTCGCTCTACTTTTTTCACATTCCAGTGAATTCCAACATTTTTCTGAAACATTGGCCCTCAGATACACAATTCGCATCAGTTTTAAGAGTACAATGCAGAAAGATTTTCTACGGAATCTTTCCAAAACGATAATGACAGCTTCCCTCTCATTTCTATTTCCATTTTATCTGTTTATTTTTGCAAGAAGCAAACTTTCACCTCCCCCGCCAATAACACGCGTTAATGAACCCACAGCGAATACAAACCGTGTCACGGTGAGGGCACACAGCTGGGTAAAATTCCAGGGGGTATTTTGCCCTCTGTGTCACAATACAAAACCGCCGGGTGAATGGATCGGCGCGAGCCAAATCACAGTTCGCATAAAGAAAATTTTGGGATTCTCTTTTTCCCCTTTTTTGGTCTCGGTAGCCCCTCTCCATTTACGGATATTCATTGTTATTTTTCCGAGCCATTCCAGATCGATTGTTATCCCGAAAATTTTCTCTATGCAACGACATCAACAGAACAAATAAGTATTGAGGGAATGCTGTTTTTCTTTCTAGAAACAACTCGTCTTCACGAATTTAATGGCTTCATTTTTTTGGGAAAATTCGTGCGGGAGTTGACGTTTTTTTAAAAAATAAAACATTGCAAAAGACACTTTAAAAATTTATTTGCAAAAAATATATAACGATTTGTTATTTGTTTTATTCAGTGTTAATATCAAATAAATAGTGAATGAAACAACTTGAATTATAAAATATAATAGCTACAATAGATCATGAAACACTAAAATAAACATGAGAATGAAATATTCTCTCCATTAGTCGAATTAAAGCAAAAAAATCCAGAAAAAAATCTCTCGCTATAAAATGAAAATTCTCATGCATAAATAATCCCTCGTTTTATCGGATTTGAAAGCACTTCGATGAGTTAAATGGCTTCATTTTTTGGGAAAATTCGTGCGGAAGTGGACACTTCTTGAGAAAATAAAACATTGCAAAA